CAAGGTGCTGGACATACACCTTATGTAGGATTTGTGGTGTAGGAGGAGTACAAATTAGACATTCTGGAAGATGAGCAGATTAATCATAAGTGCAGAGAGGATTGATATTAGTATGAATCGAGACAGAAAATTGCAAAGAAATTTATTTAAGCACGCCAACCGAGCATAGGGATGAAGGTACAAGAAGAGAAAATAATTATCGGAGGAAACAAAACGAAGAAGACAAAATTGATTTTGTTTTGGAATATTAGAAAAATATAAAATTTTCAATAATTGTGATTGATGTAGATTACGACCATTTAATAGATTTGCAGATTACAATTATTACTATTAGACTGTAAAAAGTATTTTTTTACATTTGTTCCTCTTTTATAAAAATCAATGTTTTAACATTGAAGGTACTAAAATAATTTACTTTTGAAAATTGTTTTAAAAATAATAAAATAGCTACACCTACTTTTGTATAACCATGGATTTGTTGTGAAAATTATATATAAACTAGGTGTTGGCAAAACGTGGGCCTGGCTCGCCCTGAATGCCATTGCTAAATAGAAATCATTCTGGAATTAAATATTCCATTGAAACTTAAGAAACCATTGCCTTTTTACTTTTTTTTTTTTTAATCTATCGGGAACAAAGAGCTTTACGATTAATTGCGTTAATATAAGATTGTATATATACATATTTGAATAGTATACTGTCATGAATTATACAAATATACAGTCTGCATGTTATATCTCTTGAAATAAGAATAAAAGTGCAAGATCGCCTAACGAAGAACTCTCAAACGGATCGCTCAATGATTAAACTATTATGTAATATGAGCACAAATTAAAAAAAAAATGTATTCACTGGTGACAAAATGATAAGAAAGTTGCTAATGCGAGTCCATTTGGACTATATGTTAGCAAGTGTAGAGACAAGAACTTAAAAAATTGTGAGTTTTTAACAAAATCTAAGCGCGCAGAAAAAATTTAAGAGGGGTGTGCAGCCCCAAATCCCCCCAAACTTTTGAGTACGTTCAAATCAAATGAATTTTATGGCATCATTAGTTTAACACATTATTTCTAAAACTTTTTGCCTCATCACTTTCTCGAAAAACTAGATTTTTCTAGTTGGCCATAAAATTACAATTAGTTTCTACGGATACAATAATTACAAACAGTAACAGTTTTATCAATAATAGTCAATAATTTAAAGCTATCATCTATTGTATGAATAAAACTAATATTAAAATTTTTGATACTACAATGGCCTACACATTTCAGGAAATGGAAGATATGTATTTAACTTTGGGTAAGTTGGATCAGATTAAATTATAATTTCATTAAACTATCGGGAATATCGTAGGTGAATGTCAAGGAAATAGTGCAGCAGCCGCAAGGCGTTATGTAGTAAAATACCTTAATCGAAATACACCCGATAGATGATTATTTCTGACCATTGATCGTCGTTAACGGAAATTCCAACCGCAAGTTGCTGGCAATAGTGGTCGTCCAATAATGGATGCAACTGATGAAGACATTTTAGAAATCATTGAAGAAGTCCCTGGAACAAGTACAATGGTAATAGTTGCTCAACTAAATGTTTCTCACGTAAGGGTTTGGAGGCATTTGCAGGATCAGCTGCTTAAACCCTCTCACTTGGTCAAGGGCCTATCACAACGGTTCAAGAGATATTGGTTGAAGATTATCCTAAAAGGATTGGATTTTGCGATTGGTTGTTAATGGAAAACACTCAAAATGTTAAGTTTATTAGAAATATTTAGTTTACCGACGAGGCTACCTTCAGTAGAAATGGAATCACAAACCATCATAACGCGCACATTTGGGCTGACGAAAATCCTCACGCCAAAAAAACGACTGATCACCAAAGGACTTTCAAAGTGAATATTTGAGCAGGAATTGAAGATAACAATCTAATAGTCCCAGTATTTCTTCCCAACAATTTAAATGGTGATAATTATTTGCAGTTCTTGGCAAACGATTTACAAGAGTATTTGGAAGAAGTGAATATTGCAATAAGGCAAAATATGTTTTTTCTTCAAGATGGCGCTCCACCACCTAAAAGTAATGAAGTCCGGGAATACCTTTGCAGGCAGTATCCTGGTCGGTGGATTGGAAGGGGTCGTAACGTATTTTTTGACCACCCAGAAGTCCAGGTCTTAACCCCATGGACTTTTGCTTTTGGGGGTTTATGAAAGAGAAAGTGTATTCTGTAACAATAGAGGACGAATAACAATTGAGGGTTAGAATAATTAAAGCTGCAAATCAATTTCGTCAAAAAAATATGTTTTCTTTTTTTCAGTTTTCCTTAAGCCATTTATTTAGTTGCACGTATTTTTAAAGGTTAATGAAAAGGGACGTAACTCAATCAAAACTGTTTTTTGAAAAAAGTGATGAGGCAAAAATTTTTTAAAAATAATGTGTTAAACTAATGATGCCACAAAATTCATTTGATTTGAACGTACTTAAAAGTTTGGGGGGATTTAGGGCTGCACACCCCCTTAAAATTTTTGTGTGCGCTTAAATTTTGTTGTTTCTTTTTTATGAAAAATGCTTTCCGAACAAGAAAGTAACGTCTCCATTTTTATTACAAAATATCAAGTAGTTTAGGAGATACCTAATGCAAAAAACAACTTTTAGTTTCTAACTTCAAAGGGTTATAACTTTTTTTGTGTAAACTTTTGTACTAAGGTAAGTTGGATTCAATCAATTCATTTTTGACCCCGGAATGCGTGATCTAATTTTTGACATACCTTTTTGAAACACCCTGTATTTTAACTATATGTTAAATTGACTACAATTTAATACTTTCGAACTTAATGACATTTAAGCCAAACCAAAAATACGTGACAAAGAAGTGTTCTTCTTCTTCTCCTTCATGTGACTCATCCTTTAAAAATAATGGCGATCATTACGGCCCATTTTACTCTGTCTATAGCAATTTTGAAGAGTTCTATTATTGTTTTTCACTCCACTGCTTTATATTTTTCAACCAGGACGTGCGTCTTCCGTCCCGATCCTGTTTTTTTTTCCGCTTTTCCTCTTGTATAACCAAACACATCAACTCATATTTTTTATTTCTTAGTATGTGACCAAAGTAGCTCATTTTTCTTTCCTTGATATATATCTTTCTCTTTTTTTATCTGTCTTATTGTTTATGTATTTGATAGTGTTGTATCTATGATATTTTCCACATTCCTTGATAACACCGCATCTCAAAGCTGACAAGTCGTAAGTTGCGTCCGTAATTGTCCAAGCTTCAACTGCATATAAAAGAGCAGAGAATACGTAGCATCCTAACACTCTAGTTTTAATTTCTTTTACCAGTTTTCCATTGTATAATACTGATTTCATCTTATTTAAAGCGTTTTTGTCAATCTCAATGCGTCCATTAGCTCACATCCCAAGTAATTTTATCTTAGTACTTTCTGCTAAGGCTTGTCCTTTACGTAGATATTTTCGTCTTTTTCTTTTTTTGTGTTTAGAGCTATTCCATACCTCTAGCAGTACTGCGCAGTGCGATTAACCAAAATTTGCAGCCCTTCCCTACTATCCGCAAGAAGTATTGTATCATCTGCATATATGACATATTCATTAGTGTTCCATTAATTGGTACGCCTTAGAATAGTACAAATCTTTGTATTACCTCTCTTCTTATAGGTATTTTTTTAGATTTTTATTGGTTTATTCGTATTATGACTTTCTGATATCGTTATAAATTTGTATAATCATCTATTTTTGTGTTCCGTAATATCTTGATACCATTCTATAAGTAAAGTAATAGTAAATAATGCCTCTCCAGTGCTAAAGCCTTTTCTAAATCCCAGTTGGTTTTTAAAACATGGTTTATCAAGGATCGTTCTATATTCTTCAAATTTCATTGCGTTGGGTTTTTGGGTATTGGGATTGAGTATTAGATTTCTTTCGGAATTCTACTAATATATCAATGTGTTTCCTGTTGGTAGTCTTCAGATTTCTATAGGTATTTTATCCGGTCCCATGGCGTCATCATTTTCTATACGTTTTAGTGCTTTTTAAATTTTCCCTTTGGTAATTAAGTCTATTTCTACCTCTTGGTTCTATTGTCTCCATTCTGGCGTCGTCTTTAAGAAGCTATTTTATATATAAAGAAATGTTAAACAGTGATATATGAAACGGAGATTGTAACATTAAAAAAGTACTTCAAAACTTCGGATATTGGTATATATGTATTAGGCAACAACTAACAATAACAACTGTAGAAGGAAAACCATACGAGCAAGTTTGTGTTCTAATTATTATAATTACTGATCGACTATATAAAAGAAATAAACATTGTCATTTAAATGAAACAATAGTTATATATGCAACAAAACTAATAGATCACTGTAGAAAATAACAAAAAAATCTGTAGATTATCTGTGAAGAACTTACTTCCAAGCCACCTTCTGTCTCTCTCTTTGTCTTACACATACATACACATATACACACATACACACACATAAACATACGAAATTAGGGAGATAGAAAGATTTGAAAACTCATGAGCGCCATTCACTAGGAGACCTGATATATGAGAAGAATCCAAAAGAGAATAATTATGACTGGCAATCTTTGCGTCCTTACTTTGAAAAAATTAGTAAGTACAAATGTAGACAATAAATAAATTAAAACAAATCATGGGTAAAGTCTAGGAAGAACTTATCAGCATTCTTAGGAAAATATTTAAATATGGAATGGAGTATGGAGTATGAATATATTAAAGGGAGTATGGAGTATGAGTTAAAAGAAAGAATGCAGAGTTTGAAAAGGACACTATATGTAGAGTAGGATGGTTGGGTACTGAAAAAATTTAAAAAAAGAAAAAAAGTAGACAGATACACAGAAGTAACACAGATAAAAAATGATGTTGAAAAATATATAGAAGAACTTAACACCAAAAACTAGAAAGGCAAATAATAAATATTAAAAAAATGTAATTTGTTAGTAACTGCAACAAGCTTTCACATAACCTACCAGCATATCCAGGAGCTAGAGATTCAGCAAGGCCTTCACCGTGATAATCTCCATCACCGATGTATTCACCACGGTCTAAAGCGTTTTGTACATCAGGAGAGTATTGTTGTTGCTGTTGAGCTTGAGCGTATTGTTGAGGTACAACGGGATTGTATTGTTGTGGGGCGAATTGAGCTTGAGGTTGGTATTGGGATTGGTATTGTTGAGGTTGGGGTTGGTATTGTGGTTGGTATTGAGGTTGGTATTGTTGTTGGTATTGTGGTTGAGCTTGGTATTGAGAATATTGTGGCACGACTTGTTCGGGTACTTGATTGACAGCTACAGCTGGGTTTGAACAGTCAGGGAAATTGGGACAAGCCTTAGGGTCCACTCCCGCGGGGTAGAGAGCTGCAGGTTGGCCTCCTGCCAAGGGACCATTGTAGGCCGCTGATGCTACGGCCAAAGAGCAAGCGAGTACAGCCTGGAAAATAAATATATTGGTATATATAAAGATTTAAATAAAAGTTTAAAATGTTTTAATTTATAAATTTTGTTTTGATTGCTAGAACGAATGATAAAAAATGCAGAAGCAATGGAATAATTCAAATTTAGAAATTAAAATTTTAAAGATTTAAAAAACCAAATCAGAGATATTATCGATGCAATTTTAACAATTGTGTCATAGAAAAACGTTCTTTTTTTAATTCGAGAAGAAACAGATGTCAAAATCATGCAAATTTTTCTTTAAAAAAACATAAAGAATACTAATGACTTAATTTTTAATAAGCAGATATATGTTGGTAGAAGAGGTTAGAGATTTTGGATGTTTGCCCAAGATATTGTAGATAGTTTAGACACAAAACGAGCAAATAGGAACACGTTATATCTTAGTAGCATTAAAACTTACCAAGGCGTAAATTTTATGTGTGCAATAATAGATATTATTACATATGTATCTATTTTAAATTTTTCTAAACAACTACTTAACAAGTAAATTGCAGCGTAGCGCCTAGCGACGAGGAAAACAAGGTAGACTACCATGGATTATTGTGAATTACTCGATTGAAAATAATTACTATATTACACTGAAACTAAGCCGGTAAAATAATAGTCAAACAGAAAAAGAAGTAAAAAGCTGGAAATGTTTTTTTTTGCATGAGTTTGCGTTAGGTCTTGTTTATTAATGCCAACGGCAGTTGTATCAATGCCAACGGTCTTGTTTATTGGAAAATGTGCATGTTATCTGTCCCATCTTTACGAATAGAATATTAAATTCGAAGTTCTTCAGTCTTTTACATGTATAAGACATCCAGTAAAGCAATTCTTCTACTTTTATTTGATTTACTATATTAAAAATATATATTTTTCTTTTCCTTATGTTTAAAGATACTTATTTTATGTATTAGGATGTAAGTCTTAAATTATTAAGGATTTACTCAATAATTTTATATTAAATGATATTATATAGAATTTAAAAAATAAAAATTAATTGCAACAAAACAAGAGCAAAGATAGATGTTTTTAAACAGAAAAACATTGAATATAAAAAAATAAACTAGACTATAGAAAATGGGAATTTAAAACATATTTAAAACTTTTAAAAGAACATATAGCAGGAATATAAACAAAAATAATTTGTGAAAATTGTAATAATTAAACAAGAAGTAATTTTTTAAAAGACAAACTATATTGACAACAAAAAAGTATCTGTAAGGTGTTAACACACTCTAAGGAATTAAATAAAAAACCATAAAATGTCAAATTAGTTTTGAAAAGAACCAATGCCCTGCAAACAAAAATGTATTCTCAAAAAAAGTCCATTGTAGCTCAGCAAGTATTTAGATCACAACAATTCCAAATCGGTATCGCACTGCACTAATAACCACATACACTATTAAGTAACCGTCTTAAGTAAGCCGTGAAACACTTTTTTCTCAAAACAATCGTCAAGCTTCACTAAACAGTTGAAATGAGGACTTACCAGTTTTACGAACATGTTGTTTTTGTGGTGTTCAAGTTCACTGTGACCACCGGCCAAAATTATATCGAATTTATATCATCACCACACCCTATGTAACCATGAACTTACAAAATATAATACTCTTATTTCCACGGTGGAATCACCAGAGCCGTACATAGTGTGGGATTATTTATTCATTGGTTCGTTTTAATTATGTTTTATTACATGTGATGTAGAAATAGAAATTGGGCAAAAAATACTGAACATCAAACAAACTCTTAAAGCTGAATTGTCTATTAAGTAAATAGCCGCTAGAGGACATATTGAACATCTATTGAAACATGAATAAGTAAGAAGTCAGATAAAATGTAAATATATAAGAAACTTTTTGTTTGTTATACTTAAAAGCTTAACTGGGATTAATATTATTTGAAAAAATCAACAATGGAGAAGAAACTATATTAAAAATTTGCTGTCTTTTCGTTCTTTACTACTTGTCCTTTTAACATGTTTTTAATACTGTTTAAGACAAGTAAATGTCTTTTATAATTTTTTCCTTAATATTTCTAATCATGTTTTGATAGTAAAAGATATTCAGTGCCTATATTTTTCAGCTAATTTTTTTTGTTTTCATTGTTGTTGTAGATATTGTCATATTTTAGCTCTTGTATTGGCTCTTAGCACGTATTGTTAAACTAATATACCAGCTTTGCAAATGATATTATTTTTCTGTTATGTAGACTGCATAATATTCATAACATAAATTGATTATCTAACTATAATCCTGTAGAGGAAACAATCTATTCAACACCGTGCTGAAATTAACAACAAACATTTTTACCAAATTAATAAATGAGAGAATTAAGAATAAACAACAAGGCTTTCGAAGTGGAAGATCATATACAGGCGCTCTATTTGTTATAAGACAAACCACGGAAAAGGCACTAGAATATAATCGACTGTCGCACTTATGTTTGATTGACTTAAAAAGGCCTTTGACAGAGTAAGACAAAAGGACAGTATTCACCTTTTGTACAATAGATAAATATCTTTAGATATTATTAAAAAAATCAAAATTGTATACGACAAGTTCATGCAGGTCCGAATAGATAAACAAATGACAGAGAAAATAGTCACAGGCGCAGGTATATGCCAGGAAAATTCCTTAAGCCTAGTACTATGTAATCTCATAATGGATGAAATAATTAAAACTGCGGAGGGAGATAAAGGTTATAAGTAATGCCATACAGCAGGCAATGAGAGTCACTTACAAATATTGGTTCATAAGTTTAACATAATAGCAAAGAAGCTAAACATGGCCCTTTCGGTCCTCAAAACAAAACCAATAGTCATCAGCAAAGAACTTATCAAATGTAAAATAGAAATTAACGGAACCAGCATTGAACTGATTATGGAAATCAATCAAATAAAAAAATTAAAAGCTAATAGAGCAGCATGATGTCTAAGCAACACAATATGAAGGAACAAACACATCAGGATGGAAACTAAGACAAGAATTTACAAACAGCTATAATACCAATAATGAAATACACAGCTGAAACGAGATTTAATATATTTAAAACACAAAGAGTGCTAGTGTCTACAGATATGATATATACTATATATATACTAAGGAGTATCATGGGAAACATACTAAGAAATCAAAAAAGAAGAGACGAAATTACGAAGCTTACAAGGTGTGAGAGACAGGCGAATGGACAATGAATATGAAGAGAAAATAGAACGATCATATAGTCAGAATGAGAGAATTAATTATTCTAATATAGCGGATACGGAGAGAAAGGTAAGGCGTAAAGGAAAGCAGATAGGACACCAGTAAAGTAAAGTGGTGAAAGTTAAAGGATAAGGATTTGGTAATAGTCTTTAGGAGTAGAGTGCTAGAAGAGCTTGAGGAAAAAGATACGGTAAATGACTGATGGAAAGCCAACAATAAAGTTGTAGTATGAATGGGAGAGGAAGTGCTAAGAAAGGCATCTGGTAAAGGGCCTTTTAGAGATAAAAAAATTGGTGGTGAAACGACGAGGTGCAACAGAAGATTAGAGAGAAGAAACAGGTTGGAAATAAGTATGACATATCTAAAAGAGAAGAAGATAAAAATATATACAAGGTGGCAAAGAGGGAAGCAAAGCGCGCTAAAGCTACTGCTAAGGAAATATCGTCTGCACAGCTGTATGAAAAGTTGAAAATACCCTAGGGTATAAAACGGATATACAGCATTGCAAAAGTAATGGACCAGTCGTCAAAGGACTTGACCCATATGCGGGAGATTAAAAGTGGGGATGGAAGAGTGTTAAGAACCGATGTTAAAATAAAGCAAAGATAGTATGAGTACTTTAGTAAGTTTCTAAATGAAGAAGAATACCAGAAGAGGGCTAGCCGATGCGGGATCCCAAATGAGCATGTAATACCGGGGATAGCAAGAGATGAAGTTATCGAGGAGTTAAATAGGACGATGAACGGTAAAGCAGTAGGACCTGACGAAATACCTGTGGAGGTTTGGAAGGCTCTAGGAGTGGAAAGGGTTAATATTTTGTGGCAAATGATGAGGATATATGAGAAAGAAAGGATGCTCAATGCGTGGACAGAGAGTGTTACGGTATTATTGTATAAAGATAAGAGGAGGCATTCAGGACTGTGAGAATTGCCGCACACAATCATTTGAGAGAGAACTGTAGAGCAAAGGTTAAAAAGAGAGACATCGATAGCAGAACAGTTTAGGTTTATGCCAGGAAGAAGGACAACGGATGCCTTATCTGCATTGAGACAGTTGATAGAGAAATACAGCGAGAAGAAAAGAGAGCTACATTTGATATTTGTATATCTTGAGAATGCGTACGACACAGTTTATAGACAAGAGCTATGGAGATGTATAAGAGAAAATAGGGTTCCTGAGAAGTACATAAGGCTCGTGAAGAATCTGTATAAGGGAGCGTACACCAAAAAAGTAAGGGAAGGATCTACTTGGTCAATGCTCCTTGCTGGTGATATTTTGTTAGGTATCAAGGTGATATCAACACTTGCTGGTGTTGAAGGGCTATTTAAGAGGGGGACTTAAGTTTAGCAGGTTAAAAACGGAGTATATGTGGTTGGGATGAAGAGGAATTGCTTGGAAAAAAGCTAGGACGAGTAAGATAATTTAAATACCTTGGCTCCTACATAACGGAAAATGGGATGCTAGTCTGGAATGCTGGAGCTCAAATGTGTGCCCCAAAATTTCAAACACTATAATCGAAGAACATCTCAAAAAATTGGAGCTTATTAGAGTTTCTTTTTTCAGATCAGCCGTCTTTTCAGAACAGCAACTTTTCAGAGCAGCCGTCTCAAAAGTCCGAATAGCTATGATGATTGCCGACCTCCGCCGCGGAGACGGCACTTGAAGAAGATGAAGACAGTTTCCAAAACAACTTTGCTGAAACTTGGCAGCCGAAGTCTGAATCGAAATATAGTTATATATGAAGCTTTAGGCGTCAAATATTTGCTGCCGCAAAAATTAATATTCCTATCCCAAATTCAATTCTTATATCTTATGACAATACCTCTTACAGAATCTATCCCTCCTTAGATGTTCTAAATTGTTATGAATGTAATACCATAGAGCAAAAAGATGAAAATTGTACTACCGAGTTAACCAATACGAAAAATCTTAACCAACTATCTGATTCTACTAATATTAACATATTTTAAAGAGAAAATAATCAAATAAATCAAAAATTCGTTACAATAGTAACCCCAACTGCCAATAAACCCGGTACTGGTTCCACTTTTTCAACTAGTTCACTATGAAATATCTCCAAATCACAAAGCCCACCCGAATCATATACTAATAATACTAACACAACAGTATACATAAAAAGACAAATATTAACATCTGAAATATCAGACTCAAAAAACAACAAATAAAAAAGAAAATGTACCAAGCTTTACTAAAAACTGATACTGACCCATCTCCCGCTGAGGAAGTGTTGGATCAACCTTTTTCCATACCTCAAAAGAAAAGACCAAAACAAAGAGACCAAAAACCTGTAATGAGGTAAAAAATTATTGCAACCAGCAAAAATTCTATTTAAAAAAGGAACACTAAAATTAAATTTTAAACAAATAGTCGATTTTTTCGTAAACTCATATGAGCATAAAGACCTTATTAGCTTGGTCAAAATGTATACAGACAAGGTTAACGACTTCTTAGGAGTATTTTCAGAAATGCATCTTTGCTATAAAATAGCATAATAGTCGCATAACTCGCATAAAAAACTAATTAAACAACTAGATATATCACTAGAAACATCTTTAGAATCCTCATAAGAATAAGAACTATTAATATAAAAGGATTGTCTGCTTCAGTGAAATATTCACAGGTTTTAGCTCACTTTGAAGTAAATCAAAAATTGGAAAATTTATGCTCTCATCTCATTTCCCCTATTAAACAAATCATGTATGCTGATGACCTAGTAATTTACTGTCATGGACAAAACTCTTTTACCACCTCGAAGCTTATTCAAACTGCTGTTGACACACTTTTTAAAAAAACTAGTGACGTGGGGTTATCTTTATCCTATGTAAAATCTAAAATTATAAACTTTAGTAGACGTCCCGCTTCTCCATCTCCACTTATTTTGATTAACAATGTCCCTCTTCCTGTTGTTAAACAATGCAAAATTCTCGGAGTAACGTTTGACTCACGACTAACTTGGAAGCAACATATATTTGCAATAAAAGGAGAAGCGTGCAAAAGACTTAACATAATAAAAACTCTATCACATCATTATTGGGGATCTGGCGAAAACTCACTTCTTAAAATGTACAGATCACTAATACGTCCCAAGCTAGATTATGGTTGTCATATATATATATATATATATATATAATATATATATATATATATATTATATATTATATATATATATATATATATATATATCCGCCTCCAAAACATATATTAACCTTCTAAACTCAATTCACAACACAGCCCTTCGCCTTTGTATTGGCGCTTTTCGATCTAGTCCTGTAGATAATCTTTATTGCGAAGCTAACGAACCTTCTCTTT